CCATGTGTCGGTGACGAGGATGTCGGCATTCTTGATGGCCTCCTCTGGCACATTGGTCTCGAAAAGCTTTCCGGGGGAGGACACGCCCTGGGCAGCCGAGTTGATGAGATCCTTCATGGTTTGCGGGATACCGTAGCCGTTGGGTGAAGCGACGGAAATATCGACTCCCATCTTCACACAACCAATCGCAAGGTCAAAAAGGACGTTGTTGGAGTCTCCGATCCAGGCAACCTTGAGGCCCTCAAGGCCTAGGCTGGATGTGCCGCTCTGGGATGCTGGGAAAGCCTCGTGGATGGTGAGGAAGTCAGCGATGGTCTGTAGAGGATGGAAGTCGTCCGACAGAGCGTTGATGACTGGGACGCTGGAGTGTTTAGCCAGGTTGGCGACATCGGAATGAGGTCCAACACGGGCGACCATGCAAGAGGTCATGGAGGAAATAACTACTGAAGTGTCATATAGCGACTCGTTGACCTGAAAGAGAGATTAACTTCTGCTTGGATAGATTGAAGGGTCATGAGTCTATAGGCTTACTCCTAGCTGGATGTCGTCCTTGCCCAAAAACATGGGATTACCACCCATCAGGGTCACAGCAGCCTCTGTAGATACACGGGTTCGAGTGCTCCTCTTGCTGAACATCATGGCCACCGTCTTGTTGGAAAGGCCAGTGGTAAGGGAGAGTGGCGGCTGAGTGCTCTTGACAGCAGTCTTTCGTGCCGCAGCGCTACGCACCAACGAAGTGAATTCAGCAGGAGACACATCGGCAATTGACATCAGATGCCTTGGGCCTGATGATTGGGAATAATTCCTTTTAGGGACGCCTTTGCAGGCTACCTGGGCAGCTCGGAAAACGTTCGACCTCATCTTGAAGGCTAGACGATTGCTTGATGTGCCGTGAAGAATTCGCAGTTGAACACAGAGCTGCAATTGCAATTGAAGAAGCAGGAGAGGCAGTTCAGATATCCAAAAATCCAATAATCTGCCCGGCTGCGGAGAGGTTGGAATTATGAGTATTTGTTGAGTCACGAAGCGAGCAGGCATGAAGCCGATATCGAGTACCAGCGGTCACAAATCTTTTAGTGGAGGAAGGCCATTTGTGAGATGTACCGGTACTTGCAAGTCACTTGTACCTTGTACCACCCACTCAAGCTGAAGTTCTCCGGGGATGCAGGGGAGCACCCAGCTCGTCCAATCAGAAGGGGCCGGCAATCAGGGTCAAAGCCACTTGCACGCTGGTCGCGTATCGTCATCATCACTTGTGCCTTGCGCCCACCTTGTTTCGCCTCATCATCTTCCCAGAAACACACCACAGGCGGCTGGGAGTCATCTCGATCTCGCTCTCTTCCAAACCCGCCTCTCCAGCCGCGGCCCTTTTCTTTTCTCCCTGCGCCTAGTTTCATGTTTACCGCCAAACTGAGATAAGAAGCTATCCGCTTGCGCCTACCCTACCTCCGGACCCGCCACCATGGCTTCCGACGAGAGATCCCCTCTTCTTTCATCTGAGAACCACCAGCAAGTGGACTCAAATGCAACCGAATCAACCCCTCTCCTTGGTGGGCAGCAAGAAAGCTCCGGAGATGGACAGCAAGTCGAGCCCTCCACGACATCTCCAAACAAGAAGGCTGCTTCAAGCTCCAAGCAGTCGCTCCGATGGCCAAGCATCATCGCCTCCATCATACTAGCCATACTGGTCGTCGCAGTACTGATCGGTGGCTTCGTCGTGCCTGGTGCCGTCCAGCAGTACGCGGAGCAAGCTGCGGTCGTAGAGCCTACAAGCCTTTCCGTGGAGTCCATCACCTCTGACGGTGTGAGGGCTCGTATCCAGGCTAATTTCAGGTTGGATGGTTCCAAAGTGGGCGATAACAACGCCCGGCGTATCGGCAGGCTTGCCACTGGTGTTATGCGAAAACTCGAAACAGAGGAGACAACCCTGAGTGTCTTCCTGCCTCACTACAACAACTCGCTTCTTGGAAGGGCGGTTGTGCCAGCTCTTACCATAGATATTGTGGATGGTCATACCACGACGTTGGATTTTGTGACGGATCTGAGCCCTGGCGATGCGGAGAATATCCGGAAAATCGCCAACGACTGGCTGACGGGCAAGCTGGAATGGCTGAAGCTCACTGGCGCGGCCGATATCACCGTCAAATCTGGCTTTATCCCACTCGGAACACACAGTGTTGTCGAAACCTTGGTTTTTGAAGGTCAATCCCTCTATAATTCTTTTGCTTCCCTGTACTTTGGAGAGAAGATGATTCTGCAATGATTTCACTTGTCTGCTCTTTTTTTGGCGAGAACATTTACTGATGTCCTCGCAGCTAATAAGATTCCGAGTATTCCCGAGTATAAGATTGAGCGTCTCAATTTCCATGATGTCCCTCTAGGCCCTGGCGGCAGGAAGGCAGTTGGTGCCAACGTCTCCATCGTCGTGCACAACGATTATCCCATTGCCGCAGATGTACCACCACTTAGTTTCGATATTCTCGTGGCGAACTGCGACGCCTCCGAGCCTTATATTGAGGTGGCGGAAGCGGCCACAAGTCTCATCGAGGTACGGCCAGACGCCGACGTAACTGCAAATGCCCTGGGTGTCATCGGTCAGATCCCCGACTCTCTGGTGCGAAACTGCCCTCGGAGCAACTCGTCTCCCCTGGACATGTTCATGAAACACTACTTGAATGGCGAAGACGCCGAGGTCTTCGTTCGAGGAAAGACCATTGTTGATTCTGATTTACCTGCCTGGATATCAGATCTCTTGAAAAATCTGGTCGTGCCGATTGACCTACCCGGCCGCTCTTTCGGCAATATTATCCGAAACTTTTCTGCTACGGATGTTGACTTCAAGTTGCCTAGCCCATTCGCTGACCCAAATGATCCCGAGTCATCTCCTAAAGTGTCCGGCAATATCGAAGTGTTCGCTCTTCTCCCTGAAGAGTTGAGTCTAGATATTGCGGTTGACGCTCTTCGATCTGATGCCGATCTTTTCTTCGAGGGGAAGAAACTTGGTGAGCTGAATTTAAGACAGTGGCAGGAAGCCAAGTCCACTAGAGTCGAGGACGGTGGCGATGAACTGCTGAAAGTCACAGCACAAATCAAAGACGTGCCCCTCAAGATCACCGACGACGCCGTGTTCTCGGATGTTCTTCAAAAGATGCTTTTCGGCGGAAGGGACATTATACTTGATGTCGAGGCCGCCGTTGATGCCAAAGTGGGCACCGTGCTTGGAAGCTTGACGGTGAAGGGAGTCCCAGCTCAGGGACAGATTCCAGTAAAGCGTCCGTCCTCACTAACGAAATAACCTGTGACGTCGGCCGACAATCTGTACTTGAACAAGTATTCCTATCGTCGTCTCACAGGCCAGTGGCAGATGGGGACTAACAGCTCTTTCAGGTCTCCCTACAGACACTTTAAACGCCCTGGAACCCCAAGTAGATGAACTACGGATCCTAAATACATCCAGCACCGGAGTCTATATGCAAGCGAGCGTCAACTTTTCGAATCCTACGCCATACACAGCCTCCATCCCTTACTTCTCTGCCCGCATCTTAAACAACGGCAAAGTCATCGGAGAAGCCGTGGCGAAGGACATATCTTTGAAACTGGGGAACAATACTGGAAATATCATACATGCAACTTGGGATCCTCTCAGCTTCGGGGGTCCTGAATCTCATGAAAACGCTCGACGCCTATTATCCGACTATCTGTCTGGCGAGAATACCACATTAGAAGTGGCAACCCATAGGGATAGTTTCCCTGGGTTGCCTGAACTAGGCATCGCATTCTCCAAACTCAACTTTACCGTCCCCACCCCGCGCTTGAAACTTCCAGGGGATGATGACGAAGACGAAGATGGAACGTCCCGTCTAGGATTTATCCGAGAGGCGACCTTCCATCTGTTCTCGTCCACAGCCTCATTCACTCTTGCATCACCTCTACATGCGAACACTGTTCACTTGGAACACATAAACGCTACAGCTTTTTACAATCACACAGAGCCAGTTGGCCAGATTATCAACGATAAACCTTTTGCCATTCCACCGGGCCTTTCTCAAACACCCCGCCTCCCCGTCGATTGGTCGCCCGATAGCATCGGCTATGACAAACTCAGGGATGTGGTGGGTGGTCAGCTCAAGCTTGACGCCATAGCCTATGTGACCCTGAGGATAGGGAATTGGATCGAGGAGGTACGATACGTCGGCCATGGTCTTGGTGCCAAGGTTTCCTTATAGAAATTTGTTTATATTCGGCGTTATGGGACGGAGTAAGGACTGGCATTGTGTTTTCCTCATATAGAGCACACATACAAGAATTTGTACATTTATCTACAGACTATGGGGGTATATTGTATAGTCAAAGAATACATCATTTCATTTCATATAAAGAAGTTGATGAGCTAGGCAGCTTTTCCAAACACGAACACGGTTGAGGACGATGCCGAGGGCGTGGACGTGGACGTGGGTGACAAGGCATTCTCACAGTTGTTGACGGGGGAGTGCCAAGCCGTTTGACATAACAAACATCTACGACGACGTCTAAGCCCGTAGCATGTGCGTGCTATGCGCCGATGTGGCTACCTAGGGCCGCGGTCCTTAGGGGGACTCCTCTAGGAAGCTTCATCGGCTGTGCGGGGGCAACGTTGATATAGGCGCTGTTGCTAGGGACGAGCTCGAGGAGCTACAGCAGGCGTGCCTATGCGAGCAGCATTTATAGGCATGAGGCTGCGCCGAGCGGATGTACGCCACCTGCGTACGTCCTTAGGCAGATGATTACTCAATGGAGTGCTCTTTCTACATTAAACTTTGTTTTCAGGCTTTGTGCAACGTTGCCAGCGCCAGGCCGTGACGTAGCAATACTTCATGGCGGTTTCACAAACATCATGGGCAAGTGAATTATGCCAGCCCTACCCGCGGCTGCAAGAACCAAACACCTACACACACAACGCATAACCACTCGAACCCAACATACACAGCAACAAAGAGAAACAACGAACCAGACAGCACAGCATGTCGAAGTGGGAGGCTACTATAACCACAAGGAAGAAACTGGAAAACAAGAGGATACCGCCGAGCCAGCTTCGGACGACCGGGAGGTCGGATGAGAAGAGCGAACAGGCAAAGGACGGGGCCTACCCAGCTGACCACATCGCAGTAGGGGATTCCCGCGACTACAGGCTTGCGGAATGGAAGTTCGTTACCACGTGGGGAGATCCGGAGATGCGGTCGTTGAGGGAATGGGCGTATCAGGGGACCAGGGAGTACTTGGTGCTGGAGCCCTACCATCTTGGATGGGAGGAGTATCGGGATTCCATTAAGAAGACGATGGGAGATGAGTTCAGGACAGACCTGGTCATGCGAATCCCCAACTATGATAGGCCTGTGCCGGTCGGCACCTCGGTCGACTGGAACAAGGCCATGGTGGACCTTGTCATCCATTACACCAAATCGGAACAGTCGTGGTGCCGGGCGCGGACACCATTGGTGGTGGTGTGCACGAGAGCAGAGTATAAGGTCCTTGTCGAGCAGGGCTGGATGGCCGTGCAGACGAGGTTTGAGAAAGCATCATCACGTAACAGTGCTGCCAGGACCGACAATGCTGCCGAGATGAAGGCGAATGAGACGCAGCAGGAGCTGTTGGCAGAGGTGGACGTGGACGAGGGTGAGGCGGGGATGCTGCAGGACGTTGATATGACGGCTGGACCCGGGCAGGTGCCTGGTGAAGGCATCACAGATGAGATTACCGGGGGTTCCGGTGATCCAGTCGTGGTAGGCAAGGACGAGGGCCAAGCATAGCGCATAAACATTGCTCTCCGACTTCGACCCAGTCGTGGTAGACAAGGACGAGGGCCAGACATAGCGCATAAACATCGCTCTCTGAGTCGGAGAGAGCTGTAGCCAGACCAACCTGGTGGTTGATATGCAGGTCGGCTACGGAGGTGTGTCGATTATCAATCAACCCCATTTTGAATAACTTACCTTATACCATAAACTGTGCCTTGACATGAGGGCAGAGTTAATTGCACGAGAGATGTACGCTGCAACTTTAAGAGAGCAAACTCTACGCCAGTTTTGATGACCATTCGAGTCTGGGAAGTAAGGGGCAAGGCAAACACACTTGGTCTTCGACGTGACGATCACATTGTAAAATAGGAAGGAAAAGGTTGTCTCATCGAACAGGAAAGGGGCACATTTTAAAGGGCTCGTCGCTTCAAGGGAGAAACCTCAAACCACTCAGGGTAGTCACGGTACGAAAGGGTTGAGGAAGGCGAAAACACAGCGTCAAAAAAAAAAAGAGAGAAAAAGGAGAAAAAGGAGAACGACAGGAGAGAGAAGCTTGTACAAACCGGGGTATCTGAACCACCAGGAATCGTTGTTAGCAGGGATTAAAGCTAATAAGAATGGTAAAATGAAGGGAAATGCACCTTTTTCCACAATGCGTTGCCCCAAAACCGCAAATCCTGAACTCCAAGTAAATTTACTGCTGCTATCCGAGTCGCACTCCTGCTTCTTTGCGCTTCTTGAGCTGTTGGGATGTGGCCATGCTCATTCCTGCGTGTTGCGTAGCGTCGAACATGCTCTGAGCTTCACGTCGTTTCTCATCTGCAATCTTCTTCAGTCGCTTCTCCGTCTTCTCCTTGCCGCTACCCTTGCCGTGGAACTCGTGACTGAGTTGCTTGAAGGCCTCCTTCTGATTAAGCTCACGGCCATGCTCGTCTGTGTATTTGAGCTGAAAGGTGGGCTTGTAAGTCGATTGGAAAAGGTCCACCATCTTCTTTGCCTGTTGGTGATCTCGCCGCTGGTTCTGGTGTCGTGCATAATCCTCCCTCTCTCTGGTTGACATCTTGTCCATTTTGGCGTGCTGTCTGTCGTACTCACGTTGTCTCAAGGCTTGCTCCTCGAAGTTCCGTTCCAGGACTGCCTTGCCGTGGAGAAATTCTTGGCGTTGACGTTCAAGCTTGATTTGATCCTCTCCTTTGGCTTCTTCAATCAGGCCACGTTCACGGAGGAGTGAAAGGGCAGCACCCATTCCATCGCTAATGTGCTTCTCTTCCCCGATTCCGGTACCATCCTCCAGTTCGTCCACAGTTTCAGGCTCTTGAATATCAAATTGTACCGACTTGTCATGAGCATCCTCCATCTCATGATCTTCAGTAGCTTCGGGTGTTTTTGTAGCTTGCTTTCGTCTCTTCTGCCTCCTCTCTTCCGCTTCCTCATCGTCCTCATGCTTGGTGAGCCCAGAAACAAATTCGGAAATTGCACCGATGACCATTCCTGTCCCATTTTGGGTATCGTCTTGCAGTGAATCGTCCTCTTGTTCCTTCAGCTGCTTGGCAAGATCTTCGAATCGAGTCTTCTTGCGCTTTTTCAGTGCGAGCTTTCTTTGAGCTGCCAGAGATGCCTGGAGGTCTTCATCGTCATCTATGATGTCGATCTCCTGCTTCCTTTTCTTGCCGGTTGTGGGTGCGCCTCCGTCTATATCCATAGAATCATTCTCGGCGACTACAGGCTCCTTGAATAAAATGTCGTCCTCGTTATCAATTTGTTTCTGCCTCGATTTGTTCTTCTTCTTCTTCGGCTTTTTGACCTTGATTTCCGATGGCGCAAGGTAATCTGAGGATATAGGCCCATCGCCAACAATGTCATCCAGACTAACACTTTGCTTGCCAAGGGTTGTTGGTGCTGGCTGGTCCAGGATATCAGCAATATCTCCTATCATTCCATTTTCTCCAAGAGTGAAGGATTTCCCTTGCTTTCCCATAATTTCCTCGTCGTATTGCGCAAGGATGCCAGTCTCGCCATCTTCATCGTCATTCGGGTTATATCCAGGTCGCTTCTTCTTTAGATCTAGCCGTTCTGAGAGTTTCTCCTGGTCCCGAAGATCGATGTTCTCCAGCTGGTCACCCTCTTCCTCGTTCTCTTCAATTGTGGTATCCTTCAAGGTAAGGATTTGATCCCCACCATCCAGGAGCGTAGATGTATCGTGGGCGATCTTAATCCCGGCAAGGTCCTTTGATGTGTATTGCACTGCTGCTGCTGCTTCGGCTTCAGCAGCCGCAAGCTCCTCTTCGATTTTCCGCGCCTTGTCAATCTTCTTCTGTCGCTTCTTCTGTCCCAGCAACCAAGATTTCGCGTCGAGGTCGCCTTTGTCGTCTTCCTCGCCCAAGCCTTTACCTTCCAACTTGGCCAGTCGCTGAGCATTCTCTCGTGCCTTTTTTACGGCGGCGTTCCTCTCATCGCGCTTCTTCTTCGCGGCCTCTGCCTCCATAACCTTATTGTAGTTGTCGTAGGATTGCGCCTGGCGCGATTCAACGGTGCTGGGAGCTTCATCATCTCCGTCCTTAGATTCCGCAGAAGCCGGTGCCTCTGCTCCCGGGACCGGCAGGGGCTTCAGGCCCAGCGAGACCCGGATGCGGTTCGTCTCCTCGATTGTTGCGGCGTCCATCGCGTTGACCCTGTAGTTGATAGAATGACGGCAAATTGCTGTCGTCTGTGCAGATAAGCTATCGGATTCAGGCAACAGAGAAGACCCACACACAGCCTCGCTTAATCACGTGTAAGACCCACCTGGGAGCCTATACAACTTTCTTTCTCTGCAGGCAAATTTTGTTTTGTTTTCTTCTTCTCTACAAACCGGATCTGTGTGCAGCGGTCCTCTGCTTAACGTCAGGGTCGATTGCTGTACAGCTCGATAACTTATAGAATCACCAACCTGCTATGGTGTCCATCTTGTCGACAGGTCCAATATTGACTGATCTTCCGATTGCCTAGTTCGTCATCTTCTGATGGCTTGAGCTTTGTGGTCGGCTGCTCGAGGCGCTATATTCCACCCCTCTTTTCCAAGGCTCTGTGCTGGTGAGGTTGAGGAAAACCATAGTTTTGCCTACATCCCCTGTTTTTGACATGCAATTTTTCATGGTATCAAAAAAAAAGCAGCGTCAGGTCGCCGGTTTAACAAAACCCAGACTGAAGATGCACGTAGATCTCCATAAAGTATGCACGCTATCTGCTAGCCACATGTTCTGCAGTCACAAGGAAAATTGTTTCACCACGAATGAGCTTCAGTCGCAAGTTCGGTAGAAGCAGGCTGGTCTCATGAGGCCGTTCATTTCATGCCAAGCGCCAAGTGTCAAGTCTTCATTTGCTAGACCTCCAAGATTTGTCCCATGAGTCTGGTAAATGGAATGAACTGGCAGTCATCAAAAAGTAAAATTTTGAGCCCATGCACGCTTGATACAGAAGCATTGCAACGAGGAGTGGATTCATTGTCTAATAAGCTGGTTTCCAACTCCTGGGTGCCAGGCATATATTTCATAGGTATATCATGATGTCGCAACAGAAGAAAAGAACCAATGTCAACTCCCGTATAAATATAAAAATGCGTCCTTCCCTCATGCCATACAGACATCGTCCCGTGCTTACCTCACGCAGGATCCGCCCATTAGTTGGAACCTAAGCGAACTCGTCATCAGGTTCCTCGATCGAATTTTTCACTCGAACCAAAAGAGTCGTCTTCCAGTTATCCAGCTTGTTGATTTGGTCAAATTGGAATAACTTGTCTGTGAACTGATCCTGGCTCTTGGCCTCCACGGCGTCGAGGAGGTCCTTGAGAAGCATAAACTCCCTCTGCTGCGTGAACGACGGGTCCATTTCGGCGTATCGCTCAAGGGCTTGTTGAGCAGCGACCAGATCCTTTGTTGCGAGGTGGCAAATTCCTGCCTTCAAGAAGTAGTCCTTCACGCTGTACTTCATCAGGTTGTTGTTGATGGATTGCTGTGCAACCTTCTCGTAGTTCTCGATGGCCTTGTAGTAGTCTTCTTCACGGGCAGCCAAATCTGCCAGCTTGAGCCAGAGCTTGTTTGCCAGCCTGAACATTGTTAGCACCCTAACGAATCCTAAGTTCCCAGTCGTTGGAGCTTTGCGCTTCACACTCACGCATTGGCATTGTCTCCCTCAAACCAAGTTGCTGCTGCCTCGTAAGCAGCTAGGGCACTCTTGGCATCCCCCAGCTCCTCGTACATTTCGGCGACGGTTTCCTTGTGGGTGGCAGCGCGGCGGAAGTTGCCCTTGGCGCAGTAACGGTCGATAGCCTTGCTCAGGCAGCGGATGGCGGCTTGCGGGTCGTCTTTGCGATAGGCCTTGAAAGCGTCGGCGTACACATTTGCTGCGTCGTCGGGCTCGTTCAGGTTGTTGATGAAGACTTCGGCGGCCTGCTCGAATGCTTTTCCGGCCTCGATACCTATCGGTCCAATCTTGTCAGTCATACATCGTCACCTCGTTATAACATGCTTGGGCTCCCAGCCGACGTGGATGAGGGGAAGGAAGCATGAGCTGGTCCAAGCATCGGCTTACTTTGGCTCTGCATTCTGAAGGCATTCGCGGCTTCGACGAACGCATCTGCGGCGTTTTGGTACTTCTCCTCGCGACCACCGAAAAAGCTGAAGCCCTTGCCGGCATCTTGCAGCTGCTTCTGGGCCTGTGAGATAAGAGGTCAGCTACGGCTATTCTGGCGGGGGAGGGGCAGCGAGGTTTTGGACAGCGGTCGACCTTTTGGAGGAGGGCACGAGGATCTTGCGACATGTTTGCGGCTCGTCGATATTAGGTGTAGAGGCAATGGATTTGTTGTTGACAGCTCGCCGCGTTGGTAGTTGCTAGCGATTACTTGAATCCTATCAGACGGGGTTGGCTGGCCAGAATGTCAACCAGCTTGTACTTGCAGGCTGCCGCCAATAGGGTATGACGCCAGCACGTTGCGCCACACTGCTCAAGGCTGTGGCAATGTGGGGCTTTGTCAC